TGAATATAATATGCACATTATAGGTGTAATATCTCCCACATTGACAAATTCAATCATACGATTATATTAACATGTCCGTTTCTTAAATGTAAAATTTCAAAGGGCAAAGCCATTTGTACCGGACGTTTACACACCCGGGTACACGACCCCACCGCCCCCCTCACAATGTGGGGGGCCTGGGCTCGAGGTGAATAAAATAATGGGCGAGCCCCCCATTGTGAGTGGGTGGCGTGGGTCGGGTACACGGGGGCGTAACCTGTAGCAAAACCCAATTTCAAAGTCAAGTAAAATAGCTTCACCCTCGAGTCTCAATTGTTACCTACAACCATAGAACATTGCAACACAGAATCTCATCGTGTGTTTGTGTGAACCACATATTCCTCCAATATGAGAAGTGAGTTTTGGTAATACGTACAATACTTATCAATCTCGTAACATACTTTAATGGAAACGGAATTGATTCAATACTATTAAGAAGGATTATATAGTAGTGAACACCATTATGGCAAACAAAGAAATTAAAATATGGTTTATTATCTTGCACAGTTGTCTGTCAGTACCTACCAAACTCACACTAATTGAGTCCATCGATTCGTACCAAATATGCACTTATATACCAATAATAACAACATAATTGCAACACAGTTGAACACTGAAACAATCCTGGTACGAATCATGCTATTGTAACCACTTCTTGTGTAAATTAACTACTGTCCTACAATGACAAATTAATGTGGCAGCAACAAGAAATAAAAACAAAAAATTTGCAGCAGCAATGACTTACAATGACAGTGAGTACCATATTACCATGCCAGATGAACAGTGTAGAGCCTGAAAACACTGTACACTTATCTTCTCGACTACTAGTAATAGACTTAATATTAAAGGGTACATGCTAGGTAACTGTTGGATATTCCATGAACATTAGATTGTCTTAATATTACTTCTATATAACAGGAATTCTGTTAAAAAAACATCATCACTTAAAAGAGAATTTTAGTTGCAAATATATGAACGTCGAGGATTAACCAAAAATACAATTCCTGCTTTTCATGAACAAACATAATCATATTCGGGACTGATATGCAATCTCTACCAAGAAAAACAAAAATTTATTTAATATTGGATATAAATAACTGAATAAACTTAAAATTTCAAGTACACTTCTCTAAGGAGGATCAGCACTTCTCTTCCCTTCGATACTGAAGCAGGAAAACATTGTCTTCTGTGAAACAATTATCTAAATTGATAAAAATCAGTCATCTAAAATGTAAATAAGAGATTCATAGAACCCATTTTATCATATAATGATGATTAATACATGAACCCTAGTAGAGTAAGAGCCAGCTTCTCACTGAATGAACTTTTTCCTCTACATGTGCTTGAGATTTGGTGTTAGCAAAGCTAAGTCATGCTTAACAAAAATCAATATGGTTAAGAAGCTAGCTTTTTTTCTCAATATTAGGCTGCTGAAATCCCACTCATGAACAAAAAGGTCGTTGGACATCCCATGTTTTCAACGATATGACAAGTGCTAAAAATTACTTGTGAACAAATACACGGTGGACACAAAAAAAACTTGGAAATCAGGAATTTCTAGAATCAGGACCATTCCATCGCTACAAAGCCATCCCTTGACGATATACATCCACCAATTGAGTCAAATCGTCCTTATAGTTGTACACAAATTTATTCAAGAAATCCACTTCACTATACTTCAAGAAAGACATTAAAGGAAAATTTTCCTTCAAGAAGCCCTTTTGCATCAAAAGAGTAATCACATTACACCTGGGGATGATCCTCTTCTCCAGATTATAAAGAAGAACTGCTGGAGATCGGATAACAACTATAGGTTCCCATTTCATTTTATTTATAAAGAAATCCATCACCCTTAACACTTTCTCCTCAGACACGTTCATACAACCAGGATGCAATCTAAATGCTGACATAACTGCTTCACCTGACAAGCCGAACCTCTTAAACACCTTGACTTTGTAATCCCACGTCGGTTTAGTGGTTTCGCACCGCACTCGAACTGCTAAAATAAACATCAACCTCAAAGGGTTAAACCCCATACTTATCACCTCATCCAAGCTCTTCCTAAATTTTTCATTATCCCGCTGCACTGAAGCAGGAAACCGGCTTATAAAATACGAGATAGAGCGTGGGGGCACCCCCACTTGTTGCATTGCCTGCACATTACCAGCAATTTTCTCCACATTAGTTGCAAGGATTCTAGAATTTCTATTCACCATCATAACAACTTCTTTCCCCGAAAGGGGCAAACTTTTCAGAAAATTATAACAAGGCCAAATCTGCTTTTCAAGACTTCTCCCCATAAGGGCCGGGTTTCGCATAATGACTTTTGGAATGTCAGCATTCGAAACACCTATTGAGCGCAAGAAATCGAGTTTGGGCAAAAGGGTATTCTGGGGATTGTACAAAAACACCTTAGGTTGTATCCTAGCAATATGCGAAATATGGGATTCGTCAAATCCATAATTCCTGAATAGGGTCTTTACCTGTTCCACTTTTTTCACAGAATGTTTCCCAACACTAGTTTCCCGAGACAAAACAACAGGAAAATCTTTCGAACTAACAGATGAGAAAAGTCTGCAGCTAGATTTAAACAGTGAATTGAACAAATTTGAATCATCCTGATGCCTATATTAATAGGCTTTGTACAAAGAATATGCCGAATTTGAAATGAACATGGCTCACAAAATTGATAATGTAAGGGGAGAAAATTGGAAAATGAACTCACCGATTTTCCAAGAATATCACTTTTAAGTGATTCTGTCGACTGTCAATTGCACACAGAACTGTTCTTCTCAATTCAGGCGAGAGTAAAGTAGAACCGAAACCTTCAACCTCCACTAAACCCTAACCCTAATCCCGTAATCCATACGTGCTCGTTTGGTTAAGAACAAAGGAGAAAAATTGAAGGAGAAATTGCGCCATTGATCCCCAATTTATGTCCCAGGTAGCAATGCCGTCCTCATCACGATCAATTGGTCAATAATTGATTTTTTTTTGGCTTTTGTACTTTTTTAGTGCTATTCAATAATCATGAAGTTTAAACCGGTTATTAATTTATTTATTTTTTTTGCTTTAATACTCTTTTAAGTTCTATTCAATAATCATCCGGTAAATATTTATAATTTGAAACTTCAACATTTTATAACACTTTAATTTTTTCAATATTTAAGGTTGTCCACTACTGGAGACTCCATCTTACAAGACAACCATAAATTAAGAAAAAATACTTCAGCAAAAAAAAAACGTTTAACAAGAGATAATAATCAATTTTGACGGCGAATAATACAATAAGAACGAGAAAAAGAGTGCACTAAGGGGGTGTATTCAATTGAAACTTTAAAGACTTCGATGAACTTTTTTTAAGTAAGGACTTCTAAGTCCAATATCATTAAATTTTCCCACAAGAGATGGTGGTTTCCACAATTTCTCTTATCATTTCTCTTCCCATCCCCATATAATAAAAAAATATTTTAAAAAGAATAAAAAATTAAAACCTTAATTAGATAAATAATAATCAAAATTATATATATGCCCTTGTTTGACTCCCATTAAAATTATAATTGATTTTTCTTTGTTTTCTTATCAACCACACATTTTTCAATAAAATCATATTACAGGTAAACCTAAATTTTTTCTTTTTTTTTTAACCACACATTTTTAAAAAAAAATATTAATCCAAATATTAAAATGGCAAATAATTGGGGTCAAACGGATATATACACATACATGTATATAGATTAAGAAGTTTGCTTGGTGTACATAATTATTGTNAAACACAAACATGTATATAGATTAAGAAGTTTGCTTGGTGTACATAATTATTGTACATAGGGGTGCCCATAACCCTCACATGAGGTGGATCCTACATTTTTGTGGACCCCACCCCATGTGAGGGTTGTGTACAATAATTATGTACGCTTAGCCCATGTTTGAGCAACATTATTTTTCTCATTCACATTTTTCTACTCATTTTCAACGTGTTCTTCAATGAAATAATATTTTACATCATATCAATAACTTTTCTTTTTTTTCAACCACATATTTTTCATCACATCAACAGTAAAAATACATTCTTACTCCCAAAATGTACACAAAACGGGAGCTTAGCATTTTTCATGGATTAAACTAGTTGCACACACTTGGTGTACATCAAGTTTGACATTAAAAGTGTTGCCAAAATCTGTGACATTGATTGTTTAAAGACAACACTTTTAGTTATAAATTTTTATGACACCTCATATGAATGTCAAACTTAATGTAAAACTTAGTATACATGTAGCTTGACTGATAAAAAATAAATTTAATATTCAATAAATTAGTCTATTTAAAATTTTATAATATAATTAATAATTAATATTTTTTTCAAAAAGAAATGAATAAAGAAAAGAAGAAAAAAAGTTATAAGAATCTAATTTAATTTTTTTCATAGAAATATAGATGAGAGAGAAAATAGAAAAATAGAAAAAAATAAATTTTAATCATAATTCTAATATTCGTAGAATGGAAAATGAATTCGAAATATATATATATATATGTGTGTGTGTGTGTGTGTGTGTGTGTGTGTGTGTGTGTGTGTGTGGGCGCGCGCGCGCGCTTAGTATTTAGAAACTTTTATAAAAATCTTAAAATTTGAATACCTCAACATTAATAGAGATTTTTAAAAAGTTTTAATTAAATACATCG